ACGTGTTCAGCGGCCTCAGGGTGCGTCGGGAGAGGTTTAGATGGGATATTGGGAAAAATTTCTGTACGGAAAGAGCGGTCAGACACTGGAACAGGCTGTCCAGGGAGGTGCGGGAGTCCCCATCCCTGGAGGGGTTCAGAAAACGAGTAGATGTGGCACTTGGGGGCATGGTTTAGCAGGCATGGTGGTGTTGGGGTGACGGTCGGGCTTGATGGTCTCAGAGGTCTTTTCCAACCATAATGATTCTATAAGCTGAAAGCAAGCTGTGCTGGAGCTGTTGTTTCCCTCTTCTATCCCGAAAGCCGTGATTTGTCATGTTATTAGTGGGCAGTGGTAGGTCATCGTGTTTATATATTGACACATTTATTTTCTGCAAAGCAGAAGTATCTTTTAAAGTCCAGTTAGGTTGGAATACGACATCGTAAGTTCTCTTAATTATTTACAAATTTTGTAGTGCTTCTTCTGTAATGAAAAATTTCTGTCTTTCAGTATATACGTGGCACTGCCAGTACTAAATCTGTTCATCTTCACAGGTGATCATGGACCAGGTAATGCAATTCGTGGAACCCAGCCGTCAGTTTGTCAAAGACTCCATACGACTCGTTAAAAGATGCACCAAGCCTGACAGGAAAGGTAAAACACGCAGTAAAGCAGACCACGATCCTTATTGCGTCTTATATATTACCATCTGTCTTTCCCCATGTGACCTATTTGTCGTGAATGTTTCTCAGCTTCCAATACAAGACTTAAACTGGAGCAGCTGTCCAGTTGTTAATGGGTTTGCAGTTCTGGATTTGATAAACTTCAATGTGTCCTTTCCTGGCACATACTCCATCAGGTGTGTGAGGGTGGTGCTAAAAATCACCTTATGAAATAGGCCAAGTAGATGAAAGGGGCCATTTTGAGACAGGGAAATAACAATTTTCATGCATTGGGTAAACTGCTCTGAGAAGAACTTGTGTGCACTTTGAAAAGACGAACACAGTAGTGAGGTTTGACTGATGGCAGTCAGCTTGGGGGAGATCCTGGAGGAAAGTGCTTGCTACAGGCCCTTGGAGGAAACACTTCATTTTAGGAGACTGGAAAGGAGCTGGGATCGCTTTTTGCAGTGCCCGCTCAGTACTTCGCAGCCGCCAGTGACTGCCTGATTGGGACAGGAGGAACTTTGTTGCTAGAAGTGCAGAAGAAGATTTTTGGACTTTCTCAAAGGCATTAGCGAGAAGCTGTAGCTATAACCAGAATGTTACTGGTTGTCCTTAATGGTTGTAGGTACAATGCTTTATTCACGTGCTCGCAATGAAGTTTACTGACATCTTTTGAGATCAGTAAGGAACTTTGTTGTTGGACTGGCAGGGTTGTGAGGGGCTGCTGACCTTCTTCATCCACTTCATTTTGCTGTCTTAAAATAAAAAATTAAAAAATAAAAATTAAAATAAATATCACTTAAGTCCTCTATTTTTGCAGAGACTTAAAATACCGTTTTCCTGTGACAGACACAAATGCAGCTTTTTCATCTGTACTGGGAGTTATTTCATACTGAATTGGGGGTTATTTTCAGGGCTCACAGGGATACGAAGGGAAGATAATGGAATAAATGTTCCATGAATTGTTATGGACTGTGGGTATTGCTGATTACTATTTAAAAAATTCAGATCCACCATGCTTTGTGGAAAGCAACATCTTCTCACTCAAAATCTCATGTCTTCTGAAAAGGTGGATTTGTTTCTCGGCGTCAGTGCAGTTTGCTTTTGAACTGCTTCCTGTGTTAACATTACCATTTTCTAAAGACGGAGCTCTCCTTTGGTCACTGTAGTGCACATCTCCTCTATGCCATACACAAGGCTTCCGAGACTAAAATTTTTGTTGTTTTTGCAGAGTTCCAGAAGATTGCCATGGCAACAGCAATAGGCTTTGCGATAATGGGATTTATTGGCTTCTTTGTCAAATTGATCCATATCCCAATCAACAATATCATTGTGTAAGTAAATGTGAACCTTCAGTTTCACGACATTTTACACTTATTTTTTACCTGTTCAGTTTTCAGTAGAGGGTGTTACTGAGCCCTACAGGATCCTCATTGCTTTAGTATCTCTGCATTTTGCATGTTAGTGTAATATGACAGGTCTGACTTGATTCAAAGGACTTGATCAGGAAGTAGATTGTTAGCGTAGCATGCTGCAAAATATTAGATCCATAGTTCTTACATTTTTTTTTTTCCACGTATTCTGGTTCATAATGAAACATTTGATTTCCAGTTCCCCAGTGTGTGTTTATCCATAGAACGTTTACCTTCTACGGATCTTACATGCTCTGTTTTCAGTTTATAATTTGGGTATCTGAAATAAATTCATGGAGGGTGAGGTAGAGAAAACTGAATGATTGTGCTGGAGGGTGATGGGGCACAGATCAAAATTGGTCTTCTTTCATTTACTGAGTGCCAGATATGTTTGAAACTTTGTTTTACGCGTAGCTGCGTTCTGTAAAATGCCTTTTGAAATGAACGTTGCAGCATGAAAAACTTCAACCTTAAGCTGACCGTACTGACATATTAACGCTTCCAGTTAAAACTCCTCAGGTTGTCCAGAGCTGATGTAATTCCTTTTCTAGCACTGGAACAGGTTAAATACTGTTCTGTGACCTTGCCATGTGGCTTGCTTATACCTGTACGAGTGGGCCTCTAGGCAAGCAGAAATGTTTGACAATAGTGGCAAAGCTGTAACGGGACTAATGTCTGTCCTAACAGGGCAACGGTGGGAGGATAAATTAGGCTTCACATAGGATCACTTGATCACACATGATTAGTTGAAACTCATTACTTTGTTCTCTCAACAGAGGCGGCTGAATGTGCATCATGAAGAACAAGACATTGTGACACTTGCTGCAAAGATTTCACAGCTTTGTAACTTGTTTGCTATTAAACAAGCTCAGTTTGGGTTTACAGATGTTCTTGTCCTCTTACTCCTTTTCTAAAGTGTATGCAATCATACCTATCTACTTTACAGGCTTTTTTTTCAGTAGTAGTGGTGGTATTTTTTATTTTGGGGTTTTTGCTACTTCTTTCAACCGTAGTAGAATCATTCAGGTAGGAGGGAACCTTAGGAGGTCTCTAGTCCAACCTCCTGCTCCAAGCTGGGTCGGTGTTGCATTCTGACAAGGTTGCTCAGGGCTTTGTCCAGTTGGGTATTGAAAACCTCCAAGGGTGACAACTGCACAGCTTCTCTTCAGAAGCTGTTCTAATGCGTAATTTACTGCTTAGTAAGCAGGATTGTTCCAGCAAAAGCAGGCAGCAAGAAAACTGCATTACTGTTCCTCTAAAGTGGTGATTTAAGAGTCTATCAACTGGAATTCTTGTCACTAACTTCTTAGTGACATCACCTTCATTATACCTAACTCCTGCCTGCATTTGGAAATCCTGTTAGGTTATAATTATGTACTTGACTGGAAAAAAACTCCCATCAGATAAATTAACTTGCATGGCCAGTCCTGTTCTGATGGCATAATTCAGAATGCCAAACTTGGTTATGAGGATGTATAGTTCCAGGTTCGTTTTGTTGTCAGAGATACTAAGCAGTCAATCAACAGGTTGCTCACACTGTTGGACAGGATATACCCCTGTTGTGGATACTGGTTCTGTAGGACAACTGCATATAGAATTATAAAGGGCTCTGCATTTGTTGACCTGGAAGTTTCCACTATTAAAAGACTGACTATTTTGATTTTAAAAACTAAGCCTTCAAAAAACTCTGGTAGATGCAATGCTCTTCCTCTTCAGGTTGAGATGAAGAAATTTATATTTCACTCCAAAAAGCTTCTCGTGAGCATTTGGTATTTGCAGAAGTTACAATGCTACTTCTATTACGGACTTTAAAAGCACTTAATACTGGGAAATCTGATACTGGTATTACAGCAAAACTGAAGCTTCTTCAGTGCACAAACGTGCTTCATAAGTAGAAAAGTTCAATTATTACTCTTCTTGAGAAATCTTCACCAGCACCTACGTACGTTACAAACTAGGATGGAAAAATTAGATTAACTACTCTTAGTGCTATCACCTTTTAATATAGTTGGTTATACTGTGTGCAACTGCGTACTGTATTTCCTTTTGGCAAAAGGGGTAAAAACAGTATTGGAAGAGAAACAGACTTTGTAAACACAGTCTGAACTAACCAGCTAAGCAGTAACAGGTCCTTTACATTCACTTCTGTTTGTGATTGTGCTGGGTGGCAGCTCACGCGTCTTCGGATTAAGTAGTGCGAGGTACCAGAATGAAGTACTCAGTTACTGCTACTAATCTTGATGTTATATCAAGTGACTTTTATTTCAGATTTGTCTTCCATTCAGTGCATAAAATTAGTGCCTGCTTATATCTTTTGGAACAGCTTTACTGTCTTAATTCAGTGAAATTTTGCAGTTACTTGAATCAGATCAGAAAAGGCAGCTGTAACCGATCTTATATTTTGATAGCCATTGTCCACAGCAAAGGCTTGTCTGTCTCAATGGTCACAATCCCGGAGTCGTCGTAGGAGTTGGAAGTGCTGACGAGCGTTCCAAACTTCAGCGCCCGGTTAGCTATGAAAAATAAGTAAGAGACTTAGTGGTACTCTTGAAACAAATGCACTGATGTGCATTTATTGTTGTAAAGACTGCTGCTCCCGCAAAGATGGAAAAAACAGCTGAGTAAATCTAACCCAGATAAACAACATCTAAAATAGCTATGTTAAATACTAATTAGAAGGCTTGTATGAGACTATCCGATGACCTGTGGAGGAAATAAATTAATACTTAATCCCCAAATTAGCATTTTGAGTTTACACCAGATTATTGCAGAAGCAGACTGTCAAATATTCCTCAGAGATTCACATCTGGAAATTTGTATTTATTAGCACCAGCTCAAGTACCAGTGCTAGACAAGGTATTTAAAGTAAAACGAGGTAGAGGATCTTAATGGAGTTCCAAACATGGGATTTGCTTTAGCTCAGCAGCAAGCCTATAACCTCTTAAAATGTGAACAGTTCTAGAGCAAAGGCCAGCAGTTAAGTGGTATTACTTAACAACTTGTGCTTTGAAGCAAGTGACTTGCATCTTTTCTTCTATTGCATGCCTGGCGAGGTAGGTGTCCACATGCATTAGAAACCAAGTGGCATGACTAATAAATAGCTAATGTCAATTTGAGGAGAGTTTAACATGGCTAACAGGGCAGTTGTAATGATAATTCTGAAATAGCTGTGGCGTTTTAAACAACTGTTCTGTGCTGTTTTAGCTGACATGTTTTAAGGGTCACACAGACTTCCTACAAGCTGAAACCAAAGACACAGCTGCCCCCAAACCAAAAAACGCAGTTTAACTTTTATCTTCCATTTCCTCCCTTTTGGAGATACGTTTGCAAAATGCAAGCAATGCTATGAACTTCCCCAAAGGCACTCTTAAGCATAGTCAGTTCTGTATTAGTCCTTGCTCATTCAAAGGTTCAGCGTGAGAACCCCAAGACTCTCCTTCTTAGCCTGTAAAGCAAGCCAAATGACAGCTCTTACTCCCTGGCACCAGAGAGTTACGTTTCCATGGAGGACACAGGGAGAGCTGCAGCTGGGGAGGATTGTGCAGGCGGCTCAGCAGGTCTGTGTGGCCTGTCGGAATTCACTGTCACATCGTGCATTGCTAGAGGGAGGAATCCACGGGATTTGCTATCTGGTGGGCCACTGCAAATGGAGATCTCCCTGCAATCAAGCAGTGTGCAAAGCAACATATTAAGCTCTATTTTGTGACTTGCACAGGAAACAAATATTCCGGGTGAACATGGGCTGTAGTAAACTTGGGTGTAGTAATGTATTATTAAAATGCATGTTATGCTGTCTGCCCATTGCTGGGAGCTGCACAGGAGGAATTGATCTTGCCAAGCTGTATGGCTTGAAAACAAGAGACAGTCTGACATAAGGCAGGACACACAATGGCATTTAGTGCTCCTGCTGCCAAATCTGTGCTTGCTGCTATTTCTTCCTGCTTCTGCTCTTGTTACTAGCCTGAGACAAACTGAGGAGGTTTCAGCTGGTAGCCATGGAGTGGAGGAACATTCCATCCATGCTAGCTGGAATAGAAGACCACCACCTGAGTTTCACTACTGCTTTAAGCTGAGGAGTCCTGCCATCTGAATCCCTCGGGAGTTCGGAGCATAACTGCAATGCAGTGGAGAACTTCAGAGAAAAAAAAAAGAAAAAAAGGACTGTCCTAGATCAATTATGTACCTAAAATAAAGGTGCTGGATTCTATCAGTCAGGATGGGTTTAGACACACAGCAGTGCCAGGCAGGCTCCTAGACAAATGCCAGGACGAGTGAGTTTTGGAAAAGACAGCAGAGGCCGATGGGGTTACGCTGTGCCAGAAGCTGATGCACTGGACTGAGTTGCCAGAGAACCCTGATTTCACTCTTTGCAGGTACACAGGTCATTTAATAAAGATGAGGTAACTCACAGGCAGAGTTTCCGATGTAAAAATACCCCCAGACCACGGTGTTAAGTGTTAATAGTCGAGTTATGAAAGTTTCCAGTCAATTTTAAGTAGCAGAGAGCATGAAATAGTTTAAAATATTTGTTGACACACAAATTATCCATTTTTGGCTACTACATATTGAAGCTTGAAGGGCGGGGGAGGAAGAACTTTGTGGATCAACTCTTCCTCTGTATAAACCCACTCATTTTGTATCATTTATTGCTTCTTGCTCAAGACTGTCAGAATGATTCTTAATGTTTCAGCTTTGCATATGAAATAGCGTCTCTGTAGAAGGCAAGAATTAAGAACAACATGGCAGCTTAATGAAACAAAATCTAAAGCAGTAATTCTTCATGCATAAAATTAACTGAAAATCTTGCCTTTTTTTTTTTTTTTAATAAAAAATTCTTGCCCACTAGATGGAGACTTTTATCTTTCTCTGCCAGATTTTCTTCTGTGCAAGGATCACAGTTTAAAATGCTGAAGTGAAAAAAAGGCAACAACTATAAAACAGTACTGCTGATTCACGTGGCTCGAATGGACCTATTCCAAGTACATGGCTTCATGACCAGGCAACCTTTCAGCTAACATAATTAAAAATGCATGCTTTCCATTCAATAAGTGAAGAGTAATCAATGTGAAAACTAGGTTTAAGCCAGTAAAGGAAATAAATAAGAGGATGTACATACCTACTGCTTCTAGGAAAACTTCCTGCTGTGTCATGCGTTATGATGTGAAGTTTACAAGGTCAAAGAAGTGGGAAGTTTTATCTGTTCATACCCGATCCTTTCCCTTTTTTCAAATGGCTTTCAGTCTTACTTGTTAAGTCCTAGCAAGAGCTTATGCCTTGAGAAAAAAGCTATTACCAAAAAATCCCTTCATTCTCCTATCGGGATTATTTTTCTGAAGTACATTCCAAAGAAAACTTTTTTATTTGCTAATATTTAGTATTTATAGCTTTGATGGGTACCGAAAATGATTTTAATAAAGGATTTCACATTGTGGGTGGGGTTTTTTTTAAAAATCTAAACCTCAAGACTCCTGGGATTTTTAGAATTCTCTAATTTTATATTGGATCACTAAAAATTTTCTTTTAGGCAAATAGCAGTCTTTTGCTTTACATAAGAACCTTCAAGACCTGATTTGGATAAAACCAGAAGTGATTCATCGAAAACATCACACCACCCCCCCACCCCCGCCCCCCCCCTTCCAGCAGCATTAGACATTTTTCCCCTGAAGTTTTGCTTAGTGCTTTGGTTCCAGTCGAACTGTGTTTACTGTTAATAGACTGTTGATGAGAAAGATACTCTACCCAGCTCCTCCAATGTAGCTATACATTATTTTTCATTACTCTCCATCTATAAAGTCAGCCTGCCTTGGTGGCACTGAGCCTAGGTGGCCTTGCCTCCAAGGAAAGCACTGGGGCTTTTGAGTGGTTACACGAGAAGGTAACAAAGTGGTCGTTCTGTGGTGTGGTTTTGAATTCTGACTACTCTGCACTTCAGAACTAAAAGCAAATGCTATTCTTGCCTTTCAGAAAAAAAAAAACAACCAAACAAATAAACCAAAAACCAGACAACAAAATCTATTATGAGACAGGTTTTTATGGTGTGCCCTATGTTCTTATCAGTAATGAGACATTCTAATTTCTGTCTGATGGACTGCAATGTATCACTATTTCAGACCTAACCATGGTCATGGGCAGGGCTTATTTTGACATGGTAGTGGAGGAATGTTTTTCTAGCGGTTTTTATTTTGTTTAGCAGGTGGTTGAATCTATCAGGGTTTGAGAATGTTGGAAAAAGCGTAGAGAAGAAATCTGAGAGCTCACAGGTTGAGCTTCCCAAAGGAGCATAATCACAAAGATCATTGTTTTTAGACCTCCCTTCTGCTGACCAAATTATACGACAAAGGAGGTCTCACTAAGACTGCCTGTTTCCACTATTTTATTGCTCATCTTTTGATACTTCCTTTTTTAATACACAATTCTAAAGATGTCTTGTGGAAAATGTTAAATCTCAGATGTAAGATTTTGAAAATGGATGAATCTTCTTGTTGCCAGAACATTTCGAAATGTTAACAAAATGCACCCTATAAGTAATCAAGCTATATAAAAAAAACAAACAAACAAACAAAAAAGCCCAAACCTAAAAATGTATTTTAAAAACATATCATTTTTACATCTCTGCCATGGTTGGAAGTTTTATTTTTCAGTTGACAGTACTGAAAATGAGACCTAAGCCTTGCTAGCAGTGTGTTCACCATTGCACTGCAGGCTTTAAGCCTGGAATCTGAGAAATAGCGTGGACTAATTATAACTAGGTTGGGTCTCGTCATGTTAGATGCTGCAAAAACACTAACTCTCCATATCAGGTTACTCCTCTTAATAACTGTATTTATGATCTAGTACACTTATAGACATTAACTATATGACTTCATTGTACTGTTTAGGATACTTTAATTATCAGTTCAGTCCAGCAAAAGAGGGTTTAAATCAAGGTCTCATGTACATCTCATAAGCTGTACTTAAGCAGGGCTTGAGGGAGACACAGACGGAGAAAAAATTTCTTCTTAAACATATCATATATGGCAAAAGCAAATGATATAATCAACTTGAAATACTTAATTGAACAAGCAGGCCCTCTGGTTATTCCTGCATCTCTACCAAAACCACAGTGAAATTTGCACAGCTGAGACAGAGGCTTTTCACAGAATCACAGAATGATCAGGGTTGGAAGGGACCTCTGAAGATCATCTTTAGTGAAGGAAGTGATTTTGCTGTGCAAATGGCCAAACAGTCACACCTCGTGTCTTTATCCAAAGACATGTAGGCAAACAGAAGCATTTTGGAAAGCCCTTGAACGCAGCAGTGTAGCACAAGGGTCCCCACTTCATGGGATTTCACTAAGTCAGGGTCCTACTACTGTGGCCACAAATGACTGAGAGCAAAACGCCATCACGATAAGCATGTGCCACATAGATACCGTGACATCTACACTGTGCTTCCTTTTCTCAACCGTGTGTTCCAGTTACTTCCCACAATATGTAAAGTCACGGCTTCCTGATTTCCACCACCAAAAATAAGT